GGGATGGAAAGGTGCTCCCTATCATTAGCCAAGAAAGGCAGTGCTAGGGGACCGAGTGGAACCAAAACAACCAAACCAAACCCAACTCAAGGCCCAACTGGGTTAGCTCAGTTTTCCCTAGGAGGCCCAGCAAAGGAGGAAGTTCTGTCCCAGGGAAGAACTCATGTTCCAGGGGTCAGTGCCATCTGACGTGCCTCAGTCTCCCTGACATGCACGAGATGTCCAGCTTTCAACCAGAAATCACAAGACAGGAAAACAGAAAAAACAAACATGAAAAACAACACTCCCATTCAACAATGCCACCATCACCCTGATACCCAAACAGGACAAGGACACAACAAAGAGAAAACTATAGACCCTCATGATCCCAGATGCAAAGAGCCTTGTAAATATGTTAGTGAATTCAAAAATTGAATTCAACAAGGCATTTGAAAGATCATACAGAATGATCAGGGTAGTTTCATTCCAAGGATGATTCAAAAGGTGCAAATCAATAAATGTAATACACTACATAAATAGAGACAAAGGTAAGAATCACATTGTCTCGGGTGATGCAGGAAAAAAAAAGCATCTGACAGCATCCCACATTCCTTCATGATAAAAACTCTGAAGAAGCTACGTGTTGGAGAATCGTCCTCAATATAGTAAAGAACACAGATGACAAACCCCACCCCATGTCACCCTGAATGGGGCAAACTGAAGCGTTTCCCCTAAGATCAGAAACAAGGCACAGTGTTCACTCTCACCACTCCTACTCAACACAATATTTTGAAATTTCAAGAGAAAGATAAATGGTTGGAAATAGGACAGGAAGAAGTCAAATTATCCATATCCATATATGGATATACTTAGAAGATCATATACTTAGAAGACTAAAGATTTCCACCAAAAGTAGCTTGATAAATTAAGCTAAGTAGCAGAATACAAAATCAACATTAAAAAAAATCAATAGCTTTTCACCTGGGCATGGTTTCACATTCCTTTAATCCCTACACTCAGGAGGCTGGGGCAGGAGGATTGCAACAAGTTTGAGGCCAACCTGGGCTACCTAGTGAGTTCAAGACCAGCCTGTTGCCGGGTGTAGTGCCTTACGCCTGTAATCCCAGCACTCAGGAGGCTGAGGCAAGAGGATCGTTTGAGACCAGCCTAGGCTACAAAGTGAGCTCAAAGCCAGTCTGAACTGCATAGCGAGACTGCATTTCAAAAAAAAGGGGGGGGGGCTGGAGGTTTAGCTCAGCGGCATAAGCACCTGCCGTGCAAGCAGGCAGTCGTGAGTTCGATCCCTGGTACCAATAAAAAGGAAAAAGACAAAACAAAAGTAAAAATAAAAATAAAAAGACCAGCCTGAATACATAATGAGACTCTGTCTCAAAAACAAACAAAATCAAAAAGTCAATAGCTTTTCTGTATACCAATAGTGAGCTATCTGAGAAAGTGGGAAAATAATTACACTCACAATAGCTTGAAAAAATAAAATAAAACAAAGTAACTAGGAATCTAAACAAACCAAGCAAGTGAAAGATTCCTGCAATGAAAATTTCCGAACACTAAAGAAAGAAATTGAAGAAGACATTAGACAATGGAAAGACCTCCCATGTTCGTGGATCGGCAGAGTTAATACTATATTTAATATAGTTAAATGTAGCTATATTCTGGGTGTGGTGGCACATGATTGTAATCCCAGCACTGGGGAGGATGAGGCAGGAGGATTCCTATAAGTTTGAGGCCAGCCGGGGATATGTAGTGAGTTCAAGTCCAGCTTGAGTTCAAGTCCAATTGTCTTTAAAAAATAGCCATACTACCAAAAACTATCTAGGCTGTCAGCAAAATCTCCAGCAAAATTCCAATGGTATTCTTTATGGAACTACAAAAAAAAAATCCTAAAATTCACATAGAAACATAAAAAACCCAGAATAGCCATCATGATACACATCAAGGCAAAGGAAAGCTGGGCAGAGTGGCAGACTGCAGCCCTTCCAGGGGGAGAACCAGCAGTGTCTCCTGAGATCCACGCCATGTCGGAACTGAGGATGCTGTGAAAACAAATGACCATCCTGCCTCCCTGCTTAGCAATAGTGAACCTACTGCTACATGGCCTAGAGTCAAATATCCCACTTACCCTGTCCTCCTTCTCCTCCTCCTCCTCGCCCATTAGCAAATGGAAACCAGAAATCTGAGTATCTTCTGGGAGGTTGATCACAGCAAATAAGGGGGACTTCCTTCTACCATTTCTTTGAAGGCAAATATTTTTATTACTGTTTTGCTCTTTTCTGATTAATGGTACTTGCTCTATTCAATATTCTGTTTTGATAAGTTCTATAGTGTTCTATATTTCGTCTCATTTTGACATACGTGATTGAAAGAACAACTATTATAAAGATAACGAAATATACTGTGATACCTGTTACTGTTATCCCGGTAACCTGCTGTGAAGTTCTGTACCAATTTCACTGTACGATCTTAGTTGGCTTTTTTCTGACTTGTTCTGTTGTATACTTTCAAAATAAAAATTAAAAAAAAAAAAAAAAGACAAAGCAAAGCTGAAGGTGCCACAATGTCTGGTTTTAAACTATACTATAAAGCCATAGAAACTAAACTGCATGAAGCTGGTACAAAAACAGACACACAGGCCACGGGACTAAAACAGAGAACACCACATGCCCATGCAATAGCAGGCGTCTGATTCATGACAAAGAGCCCAAACAGACACTGAAGAAAAGACAGCCTCTTTAACAGATGGCACCGGGAAAATGACATCGTATGAACAAGACTGAAGCCAGGTCCTTATCTCTCACCCAGCACAAAACTCAGTTCAATGCAGAGCAGAGACTTAGACAGAAGCCCTGGAACTTTGAAGTTGGGGAAACACTTGAAGCCACAGGCACAGGCAAAGACTACCTGCGTGGGCTCCAGGCACAGGAAATAATATCAAGAGTCAACAAAGTGGGTGATACCAAGTTAAAAAGTTTCTACACAGCCAGGGAAATGACCTACAAAATGAAGATGATAGGATTCCAAATGATATGATTATTTCCAAAAGATGTAAAGTATAAAACAAAAGAGGCCTTTATTCTGAGAACACGGAGAGAGATGACCGACCCCCCCCCCCCGCACCCCCATCCCCGGCCGGCCGCTGGAATCCAGCGATCTCTCTAGCGACACGTGGAGTGGGGGGGGCTATAAGTAGTCTAAGCTTAGGGTAGTGCCCTAGGGCCATTAGAGATGCACAGGTATTTCATTGGCACACGTTTAGCGCCAGGGGTAGATCCCTAAGGGTGGGGGGAGATAGAGTTACAGGTAAATCTCTAGGGGCGGGGGAGATAGGAGCTCCCTGGTTCCGGCTGAGGCTTTTTCTGGCTAGTGTCCGGTCTGGGCCAAAACCCTTTCAGAAGACAGCCCACAGAAAGGAGAAAAATCTCTACCAGCACACCTCCGACAGAAGGTTGATGTTTAGAATAAAGAACGAACTCAGAAAACGTTAAAAATTTCTATAACCCAATCAATAAATGTACAAAAAAATTGAAGAGACAGATCTCAAAAGAAGTGGTGCATGCTTATCATCTTACTTTTCTTGTTGTTGAGACAAAGTACCTGATATCCAAAGTCAAGGAGGAAAGGCTTACTTAGCTCAGATCTTGTAGAGATTTTAGTTCATAAGCAGCTGACTCCAGGCTGAGTGGCCTCACAGAGTACAGCCACTCGTGATGGGAAGAAGACAGCAAAACATCAAGGGAAATCAGAAAAGGGCAGACAACCTCCAGTCTACCGGGACTGGGGAGATGCTGATCCAATCAGCGGGCTGATCCACCGATCACCCAGCCTCAACCCAGCATTGTACCACCAATCAATGACACACTCTAGATTCAGCCATCTCCAAAAGCCCTACCACCACAGGAGGATTTGAGGGGAACATCTAGATATAAACCGTAACATAATCCCAACACACTGGGAGGCTGAGGCAGGAGGACTGCAGGTGTGAACCCATCTTAGGGAATTTAGCAACTTAGTGAGAACTTAGGTCAAAATAAAAAAATTAAAAAAGGACTGAGGGTGTAGCTCAGGGCCAAGGCCCCATTTTTGATTCCTAATACTGTTTTTTAAAAATGTATGAAGCTGGGAGGAAGACATCAGACGGAACAGAAGGGAACAGGGACCAAGGCAGAAGGACAAGAGGTTAGTGGAGGATTCATAGGCTCAAAATATCCTGTGTTATAAAATATTTGTAAATTCAGAAAATGTTGTGTTAAATCTTGTACAAAAGCAGTGTATTCAAAATAAATAAATATGACTCAAAATCCAAAAAGTAACTGGGCATGGTGATACAGGCCTGTAATCCCAGCACCCCAGGAAGTCTTTGCATTCCTGCCAATCTGTGGAAATCGGGATAGTGGAGCCATCCAATGTGGATCCCACTTTACAGTGACAACCCAAGTGTCATCGTTGAGAACCTCACCCCAAGTTCAGCCAGCCCTATGTATTTCCCTCCTTTTTTTTTTTTTTTTTTTTTGGTCTTTTTGAGACAGGGTCTCACTGTGCAGTTCAGGCTGGCGTTGGGCTCACTTTGTAGCCCAGGCTGGTCTCAAATTCATAACGATCCTCCTGCCTCAGCCTCCCAAGGGCTGGGATTACAGGAGTGCACCACCACGCCCTGCTATATTCCCTTTTGCCTAGCATTGATGTCAGTATTTTAACTACACAGACACATTTCAGAAGGTCTCCTGGGTTAAACTGTACACCAGTGACATGCTGAAGTACTAGTCCCTAGGTCTCAGGAAATAGAGTTGGCAAACGCTGTCATGTTGCAACCAGGTCATTGGGGTGAGCCCTGATCCTCTCTTGCTGGTTATGGTTTAGGCCCAACTTGCCCCCTAAGCCTCGTGTTGAGAAGGCGATTGGACTACAGGACCCAGCGGGCCTGCCCCTGGGGGCGGGGCCTAGTGGGAGGAGACAGCCGTGGGGGCGTGGCCTGGCGGGCTCACCTCCCTCCCTAGCTGCTTCCTTCTCTGGCTGCTGCGAGCCACACTGCTGTGCCCGTCCCTGTGCCGTGCGCCCTGCCTTGGAGCCAGCCAACCATGGCAGAAGATGTGCTGCTGCGTACTGCGTCTCAGTGACGAGGAAAGAGACTGAGCCAGCTGACGTCTTTCTAAGAAGAGCAAAAGGCACAGGGGAGCCATCCGATGATGGAGTCAGAGACCGAGGAGCGGCACAGCCACAGCCGGGGGCGCCAGGGACTGGCGGCGGCCACTGGCAGCCAGTGGAAGGCAGGACCCATCCGCGGCACCTCGATGCCGAACCTCAGGTCTGCAGAACCCAGAAGGAAGACAACTGTTGCGAGCCTTTGTTACAGCCACCGCAGGAAACTAAGAAAGAGCAACTGAGCAGCCGCGTCCCTGGCGTGAACCCGGCCAGCGCTGCTCCTGCGGCGGCAGGCCAGGGCGCACTTAGCTCCTTCCCGTCTCCAACTGCGTGTCGCCGTTTTGCTCTGGGGACACTGAGTCAGCTTCTTGCCTCCCAGGTGGGGCCTGATCCCCAGACCCTGAGGAATAGGGGCCCCCGCGGCGCTCTTCGCCTTTCAGTCAATCAGCTTTTTTATTTTTTAGGTACATATTTGTTGTACATCTCCTCCCCGCTCACTAACTCCACTGAAAATGGAACTTTAAAAATCAGATGTTCTTCTTTCAGAGATAAATAACTCTTCCAAACTTTTTCCTGTTGAGCATATAAACAACACCGACTCCCCTCCCCAGCCCTAAGCCAAAGCCTTTTGCAGGAAGAGGAGGAGGGATGGAAGGTGGCCGGGAGGGGCGAAACCAGCATGGAGTTCTGTGTCCCCTCTCTGCTCTCTGCCTCGGTTTCTGGCTATCAAAGACCTGTGGCCACCTGCACACAGGATATGGGAAAACAGGCCCCTCCTCCTCCTCAGAGCTGGCTTCAGAATAAATCCTTTCTATCAAAATAAACAGCTCCTTTGACTTGTCAGCAGGGAGCGGGCAAACGTGAGTGGCTGGCAGCATGAGTGTCCCCATGCTGCCCTGCCTCCCTCCCTGGCCCCAAGCCCCGGACACTGTCAAATGAGTTCATCCTCTGAAAGGCAGGTTCCTGGAGTGCTCCAAGCTGAGAAAGTACTAGAAGGGACTTTGGGTCAATCGGAAAGCCCGGGGCTAGGGATTTAGCTCAGTGGCACAAGTTCCTGCCTTGCAAGCAGGCAGTCGTGAGTTTGTTCCCTGGTACCGATAAAAAGGAAAAAGACAAAAAAAAAAAAAAAAAAAAAAGTAGGAAAGCCCGCATGAGGTCAAGTGTATGCATGTGTTGCATGCCTGTGTGTCAGTGTGCACATGCATGTATTTGATTAGGTGAGGCAGCTCTGTGAATGGGATCAGGCCCACCCCCAGATGGCTTTCCATCCCCAAATCTTGCATCCAAGAAGAATTTCCCTTGAGCACCTCCTGTCTCCCTGCGGCCACTGAGGATCACGTCCCAGGCCACTCCTGCAATGGGAAGGACTTTTCCAGCCCAGTGCCCACCAGCTCGTGACCAGCTTCCAGGTAGAGTAAAGGATTAAATGGAAGGCGCAATAAGAAGTGAAACAATTAGAATTTCTGCCTCATTATCATGGTAATCTTATCAGTCGGATAATGAGGTATTAATGGAGATTTAATGTGCATCTCATAACAGAATCCCTTGGAGAAAACACACAGGGAAATTGCTGTAAATCCACTTAATGATGGAGAAGTCCCAAAACACCATATTCCAAAGGATGAAAAATGCAGGATGCAAATGAGAAAGAATCAAGGTCAATAACACCGTGGAGACGGGCCTAATGGCAGATTTGGAGATATACGTAATAAAAATTGCATGTTGCTTTTAAACCTCACCCTCTGTTGTTTTCAAATGTGGATTCCTAGTAATGAAACACGGAAGTGCAGCCAGAATGATTTGTATGTTTTAGAAACCATAGGGGGCATAAAAATGTCTCGAAACTCATCAGGCCTCCCGCAGGGAGCCAAGGGAAATGGGGTGTTTTACCGAGAGGCCTCCAAGGGAAGGGGGGCAGAGCAAGAGCCCCCGGGTTGACAGTGAAGGGAAACAGCCTGTGCAAGTTCAAGGTCGTTTGGGAAACACCAGCAGGAGGGAGGAGGGTGCGGTCACTTCCGCTCTTCCATGTCCTGCTGGCCAGCCAGCTTGGAAGGATGGGGGAGGCCCACCATAAAAGCTTCAGCTGAGAGATTTCTACCCCAGCGAGGCGCTGTGAAATACTCAGCACAGATTATCTCATTTAATTCCATCAGCAGCACTGGAAAGCTATTAAAACCTCCATTTGCCAGATAAGAAACTAACTGGAGAGTAAGTTGCTGAGGTTGAACCTTTGCCCGACCCTCTCTGCTGCTGTATCTGGTTGGACTCCATGCAGTCTCCTCTCTTTGACTCTCTGGGAGTCACACAAAGGGAAATTTAAGCTAACAGCTCACTCTGTGGCCAGGGACCCTGGGCAGATACAGAGGAGCTTCTAACCAAAAGGCAGGCGAGGGGAACAGGAACTGCAGGTCCAGCTGAGGGCCGCAGCGTACACAGGCAGCCAGGCCCACAACCACACAGGGGACAGCAGACGAGAGCCCTGTGCTCCCACCAAGGCCCCTGAACCTGAGCAGTGGGGCCCGGTCAGAAGGTGCGGAGGAAACAGGTTAGAGGTACTCATCCTGTGAAGCGAAGTCATTACATACATGAGAAGATGCTGAGCAAATGTTGGCTGTTTGCTCTTAGAATTTATTGATGATCATAAATAACCCTGGGGTCTCCCAGATGTCTCCAAAGACCCAAAGTAAAGTGAGTTGTGTTTTCGGTTTATCTGAGGAAGTTAGGGGGTGCCTAACGGTCCTGCTTTGCCTGGGACCGGGTGGAGGGTTTTAGTCCTGAATGATGCCACATCCAGAGAATCCCTTCCGTTGTGGGCTAACAAAGACAACTGGTCACCCTGCCCAGGAGCAAAGGCAGGGGTCCCAGCCAGGTTCGTACACAGGAGAACACACTGGGCAGGGCACAACATCCAGTGCTGGGCAAGTTCAGCTTGGGGGCCCCAAGAGAGCAACAAGTAAGCTCTTTCTAGTCACAAGCTGTCTAGGGCTGGGGTGGCACTGAGTCCTCTGCCTTAATGATAGGATAGATTCGGAAATAACTACTCAACACCCAACACCTATTCCTCGAAGGAATTCTGATGGGTAGGGAACCATGTCTCCACTTTACAGATGAGGAAACTGAGGAACAGGCTGCTGATGGAACAGCTTCAAATTGTGAACAGCCTGTGTACAGCTGAAGGGCTAAAGAAGATGACAAAACTCTGCCTGAGGACAGGCATAGTCCCTTAGAGAAGGGGTCAGCCTGATTCAGAAAAAAGGTGGGATTCAGCCAAGATGGTTGGAGCCTTGCAGCTGTGTTTCCTTTAATCACAGACTGCAAATTGAATGACGTTAAGACAGTGTTGCCTCTATGAATTTCCCCCAGGCCCTGTTTAATGAATAAATAGGCATGATTTGTAATTAGCTTATCCATTGTGTGGCTGCTTCTAGAGCACCTGAAGTGAGTTAAGCATGCCCCCTGCAATCTCCTCGACAATATTAATTTGCTCAGCAAACCTTCCTTCCTGGTCATGTGACCACACAATCCCATTTTGCACTGCAGTGGACATATTGAGAAAAATTGGGATCTTTTGGTCTGGAAAGATGAAGACACAGGGTCCTCATCAGCCCTGCTCCCAGCATGGGATTTGGATGTTCTGAGTTCAGTGTGTTTTCATCAGCAAACAATAGATAACCCACAAAAGAGCCCCTCTCCCAGCTGCTTTCTCAACCAGCCATTCAGAACCCTAGAGCCAGCTCACAGGGGAGACTTCTGGTCTTAAGGCCACCTCTCCCAGGAGTCCTAGGTGAGTCAGGGGTCTGCACCCATTTGGGCCATCTTTGTCTCCTGCAAGCTGTTCGCAGTGGCTGCCGGATCCCTGCGGTGGGCCCTGTTGGAGTTCACTGATTCCTGCCAAGCTATTGCCCCCCCCCCCATCATTTATCCTGTAACTGGGGCTGCTGGTCAGTTTTGCCCAGTTTCTGTGCTGTGTGGCTGCTGCTAACATTTCGAATCCCAGGATTTCCCTGCCTAGGGGTCCTGGGGGTGGGGAAGGTCCCAGGTAGAGGTAGTTGTCTCAACTGTCCCTACAGTTTCCAGCAAGAGGAGAGCAGGTGGCTGTCCCCTGGGGACCCTTCATCCAGTCACCTGGAGGCTTCCTCTCATCTGTTCCTCTTGCCTCTACAGCTGCATTTATAATCCTCGTGCCCTGCGGCTTTCTCCAGCGTCTGCCTGGGATCCCCAGCAGCAGGCCTCTCCCCCTGGGCCCTGCCTGAGAATCCAGATGCCAGCCAGTGGCAACAAAGGAGGAACTGAAGGCCACCCACCCCTCTCCTCTGCAACGTGGTGACTCCATCTATCTTTATGGGGCCTCCACACTAGTAGCAGACCTGGGCCACGTGTGAGATGTGGATCTTCCCTCTTCTACAGACTAATCTCCAGTCTGAGCTTCAGATAACCGCTGGGTAACAAGTACCATGCTGGGCACTGTGGACGCCATGGGTGCCCAGCGCTGTTCTCAAGGGACTCACATGCAGAAAGCGAAGTGCACACCAGGAGAGGGACCATAAGGAGCTGCCATAGGCAGCAACATCTACAGTCTGCATGGCCTTTTCCCCTCCCTGGCTCCTATCGTCCCCCATGGGACTGGGAGGCTTATTCTGCCTCCCAGAGAGGCTGGGCTTGGTTTTACATGCCTGTAATCCCAGCATTCAAGAGGTTGTGACAGGAGCGTTAGCATGAATCTGAGACAGCCTGGGCTGCAAAGTGAGTCCAGGACCAGCCTGAACTGCATAGCAAGAACCTGTCTTAAAGCAAACAAAAAGGCAGACAGGCTGTCCTAGGAGCTAGACACAGAGACTTGGGAAATCTTAAGATCTGGATATGAATCCTGACTGTCATTTCTATTCTGTGCAGCTGTGAATAAGCCACGTCACCTGAGTCTCCACTTCCTTGGTGCACAGTAATGCCGCCATACAGATAGGAGCTCTGGCAGTGATGTCCGGAAAGGTGCCACTGCTGTGTCCAGCAAGTGAAGGTGGTCTCAGAGCTCGGGCAGGATCATGAGAGCCCCTCCTTGGAGAGAGGATGGAGGGCCCCCCTGGGTCACAGGACTGGGAGCCCACAGGACCTGGACTGGTGGCACTGGCTGTGTGTCACGACTCAGGAAAGCATTCTTTGCTGGGAATAGTCACTGCCATGATGCAGGGTGGGCTGAAAAACCTGGTGTTTTGTGGGTTTAACTCAAGGGACCGGCACAAGTTCTGGGCTCTTTCTAGAGCTGTCCTAGGAACCAGCTGGGTGCCGGGTTATGCAGCACCCGGGAGCTGATCCCGTACCCTTAAGCATCTCACCTCCCTGGCTCCTGAGGGTTTCTTGCGCCGCCAGGCAGATTTTGCAGTCCATGGTCTTACCTGTCCTTGACCACAAGATGTCACCCAAGGAACAGCAAAGCAAGGTCCTGGGAGGAAGTTGGCAGGTCAGAGCCCAGCCCAGGGAAGCCAAATTCTAGATCACCTCAGCTGCAAAAGGCTGGCGGTGGCAGCAGCCATGAGTTCAGACCCCAGGGTTTCCAGCAGAACAGAAAATCGTGGCCCCCACAGGACTCAAGTATCAGTAAACAGAGGTGAGGATCCCTGCTTCCTTGCCATCCCTGACATGCCCATTGTGTGTGGGTGGACCCAGAAGACTGCTGTAAAACACCCTCTGTCCCACTCTAGGCCTCAAGCTCCCTCCTGTGTGGACGGATTTTGGAAGGAGAGGACAGTGGTCTCCGAGCACGGAGGGGCTCCTGCAAACATCTGGGGACACCTGCCTTTCGGAGACACAGGAGAACACAGGTAGTAAGGGAGAAGAGGCAAGAGGACTTGCTGAGGAGGGAGGAAGGGGTCAGCCCAGGGGGATGGGTGGTCAGAACGTGGGCGGTGACCCGTCCAGGGGGCTGGGGTGGAGCTGAAGGGGAGGACAGAAGGCATTTGCTGTAAAGATGCGCTGGAAGCCAAACAGAAAAGAGATTTTAGGCAGAATCTGATCAGACTTGATTTTGTAAACTTTTTTGTATTTTTTTTTCCGTGGAATCAAACTCGGGACCTTGTGCTTGCCAGGCAGGCATTGTGCCACTGAGCTATCTCCCCAACACTTTTTTAAAAAATATTTTTTATTTTTTTAAATTTTATTTTGAAAGTAGTAAAAATGCAACAGCACAAGACAGAACAAAGCCAATTGAGACAATGCAGTGCAGTTGGTACAGGATTTCACAGTAGGATACTGGGATAGTAGTAATAGGTACGATGGTATATCTCTTTAACTTCACAATAGTTGTCCAGTCAATTAGGTATAGCAAAATCAAACCAAAAATAGAACATTATAAAAACAATTGAGAATAATGACTAGAGCAGAAGAAACAAAACAAAACAAGTGAAAATAACCTTTGCCTTCAAACAGAAGATAGAAGGAAATCCCCCGTATTTGCTCTACTGCATGTGGTCATCCTCCCAAGAGATGCTGAGACATCTATTCCCAGTAGCTATGGGGAGGGTGTGTGTACTTGATTTTCAGCCCGAGTGGCCGTAGGCTCACAGGTAATGTCTCCTCCAGGCCAACGCTGCTCTTACCAAGAGGGCTGGTGAATAAGCTGCCTGAGTCCCACCATGGCTGGATCTTGGGAGTTCTAAAAATATATTTTAAATTTTAAAAAAAATTAAAATTATTTGAACCCAGAGGTGCTGCACCATTGAACTATACCCTCAGCCTGTTTATTTT